CATGAGGTTGGCCATGTCACAATGTGTTAATGACTGTGTTACGGGGTGGTGTGATGGGGTTCCATCTAGAGGTCGAGGGGTTCAAATCCTGCAAAAGATGGGTGCCAATTCACTGAACGGAAGACGGACGTTCTGGGTTTTTTTCCGGAAACATGCCAACGCATGTGTTCTATAAACACCGTTTTACTAATGGTTCTTTAAGCAGTTCTGTGCTAGCGGCAATATTCCCTTTATAAACATTTTGGTTGAGCGTTCTGGTTCAGGTTTAGGTTTTGGGATTACAGTTAGTAGTTTGCTTGATAATTCTAAATAAACACTCACTCAGTAATCAAAGCTTTGCGGACATTACAACTTCCAAAGAAAGTGGACGCTATTTTGAGTGTGACGTTTCTTTTCTACACGTTCAGCTCTTATGATTAACCGCTTCATTCGATATGTCGACGATTAGGGCACTTTTGGCCTCTCGAGCCGACCACTACATCTAAATTTAAAATTGTTACGTCATCAACTAGAACAAACCAACAACCAGATTATCGGAAAACTGAACTGACTGAGCACTGAGGTTTGATTCGAAATAGAATTGAAAGTGTAACTATATTATAACAAAAAATGTACTTATTGTAAATTTTGTTCAGACTTTGCTATCAAGAGAAGAATTCATATAGGCTTGACAGCAAATCGGGTATATTGTAGCGGTGTATTGTTCATACATATATTTGTCCTGTTGTGCCCTCCATACATTGGGGCATAGGCCAAGTGCATGATGGGAAAAGCCATGCCTTGGTTGACAAGATGGCTCCCATGAGTTGATCAGAATCATATGATTAAACCAGTTCGTAATTGTCTGTAATTATACTTATAATCCTCTGGATCTCCTGTCTCATTTATACCCATTCGAACCTGGAAAGTAACGCAGAGCGCGTTACAATATATCCCTCCGGGCACGCGTATCACTATCACGGAGGCCCCCTCTAATGGCGAATGCATGCTGCATACTATTGTTCAGGACATGTCATAGAGCAGTTGATCCAGGAGTTGATCTGTACTATAGCTAGGATAATGCTTTCGTTATTAAAGTCGAATGTACAGTGATCACGTGGCCGATTCGTCCGTTGAGGTTAAGGCCTAAAATACTCCTCTGAATTTGATAAACAGAGTGTATCAAACAAAACGTCCATCGATTTTTTTCCTCCAAAATATTTTCAAAACCAAATCTCCTACGTTGTTTTCGAGTCTTTTCTTCGCGGAAGGCGACGTATACTCTTTTTTAACGAGTTTGAATAAGTCGCATTGTGTAAAATTACAGGTCACGAATACGTTCAGCCAAGGCTTTGAGCTCTGAAATCTTTCAACGCGTCGAGTATTAGTAGGCCAACGCTCCAATTACGCGAAGGCAAGGTGAAAAGGTCTTCTCTCGTTCACTTACCTCAAAGTCTCCTGAAATTCGCCTAAGATCCATTCTGCCTCACTCGGCGGTTCGGTCAGGCAGGCCTTGAACACTGGAAATGATCGCTAATGGACGGAGCAATATGGCGACGAGTGGAAAAATCAATACCCGTTACTTTCCAGAGCTTTTGTTTTCTAATGTATACGGAGATTTGCGCTGACAATGCCAAAAATTCAAGTGTGAATTGCGCGCATTAGCGGCGTGTCGTCTGTCATGCATTACCAATGCAGTCGCGGTGAAGGCGCGTGATCTGGCTGCGATCGACTTCCACTGACCAATGGCAACTTACGATAGAGAATCTGTTTTGTTTTACCGATAAAATCAGTGATTCCATTGGATGAAAGTCCCCGCACGGTTCTGACGTTTTGGAAGAGTGCCAAGGAACGTCGAAGACCCCGGCGTGGCTTGATGGATAAAAACTCAGTCAACGCAACAGCTGCTTTGATTGCGGACGTCTGTTTTGTTATGCAAATTTGAGTAAAGAATGTTTTCTTGCACCGCGCGGGTTTCGAGGGCAGCGCAGGCTAAATGGCCGAGGTTCCGCTTTAGGCCAAAAAAAAAAGTCTCCGGTTTCTGGTATGGAGCTTGCCCCAAAAGTGGTGCGGCGACGCGGCTTTTTTTTATTTTTTACATGTTTTTTTTTTTTTTTTTTTTTTTTTTTTTTTGGGGGGGGCTTCAAATGTCGGCTGATGACTGCAAATGGTGCCCGACTAAACTAAGTGCAAATATATTGGAGTCCAGAGAGGCCACATAAAGCTTATTCTCGATCATAACCCATCTAAAAACACGTTAAAATTGTGCAGCAGCAGGATTCCAGTCAAACCAGTGAGTTTGGCGGTTTTGAGACATCATCTCGTATTGAAAAAAAAAACTTTTTTCATTTTGCCGACGCGCATGGTTACGGCGACGCGCGCGCATACCAGAAACCGGAGACTTTTTTTTGGCCTTATGTCCTATTGAACTGGTTTCATACTAACCAGCGCCGAAACCCGATAACGCAGTGATTAAAGAGTTCTGCAAACAATACGCTGACATTACACTTATCCACTTAACGTGCATTAACGTTAATCGAAACATTCCTGAATGGTTAACTCCATGAACGAAATACACAATAAAAATGGCGTATACTTTTATTTGCTCATACTTCCTCTGCTTGTTTTATTAGCTAATGTAGCGCAACGGATGATGTGCATGGCATTTTGTGAGAGGGGTTACATAATACGTGGACATGGGCGTCGCAAGGGGGGGGGGGGGCAAGGGGGGCGCTTGCTACCCCACTCCAACCCCCCATCCCCTGAAAACAAAAAAAGAGGCCAAAGAAAAAAAAAGGAAAAAGAGGTGCGAAGCCATATTGCTGTTAATTTGAGGGGGGGGGGGTAGGGCAAATTCTGCCCTGCTCACGCTCGAAAAAAAATATAAATTGAGAATAATGAAAAAGTTAAGGAATTTGGGGGGAAAAATTGCTCCCCTCCCCCCGAAAAATCCTTTTTATAATTACCGTGGTAAAATTTATTTGACTACTAATGTTGTTAATTTGCCAACATTTTGAAACAAACTTGGTCATACTAGTAACCCCGGAATAACCACGGTTCACAGGGTAATGATATTGGTAAAAAAACATACACTCACGCATGCGCAGCGCGCGGGCAATTTCTACTTCGTTGTCCGCCATCTTTTTCATGTTTGTTGCTTGGTGTACCGATGTTTCGTGAACCAGAATCAGGTTTTTCAAACAATGAAAGTCAGTTTTCTCTATTCATTTCGAAGTAATACAGTACATTTCATAGAGTAAAAGCGCTTGAGCCGTTGGTGTTATTTCTGTACTGCCGAAATATATTAAATATATTCTTGCAAAGTTCCGTATCTGGCCTGAAAACAAACCTTTTTTGCGGCTGACGTGCTATAGGGCGCCCCCAACGCGAGTTCATTGATATCCAGTTCCTTCCAGCCCCCAAATCACCCCGCCCCCCTCCCTTATGCTCAAAATCGCATTATTCGGATGACGGTTTATTGGTCCCTTCTGATTTGGGAGCAAGTTGTTGCGGAACCGCCATTGAATAAATAAAAATTAAAAATTAAAAAATTATAAAAAAAACCGCCATAAAAATAAAAAGTATACATAAACTGCCGTAGACCACAATGATAAATGCCCCCACTTCAGAAACTCATGAAAAATACTCACAACTCTCCAAGGTGCCCGAAACACATCAAATTAAAGCTTATTTCATCATCTTTCATTTTCTTTTCAATTTTTGGGGGGTTAACTGATGACATTTAGGAGAAATATCCATCCGAAGATGATCACCTTTTCAAATAGTCCTGAAACCCATCGCCATTTTGAAAAAAAGATGCCTGCACTCCATTGCAAATGGAACGCTTTTAGAGCCCCACTTTGATCCAAATTGCACAGAACTACAAACTCACAGTCCTGTGCACGGCTTCCATTGACTCATATTTTTTTTTACAAACCCTCAAGTTCATGGCCCTCAATACGCTCAAATACCATATATTTGAGGGCATGCAAATCGTAATTTTGCCGATTTACCGATTTACTGGCATGCAACCTGCAAGATATGCACACGATATGTTGAAATCACGTGTACACAACGTGATTCCATTGTCTGGTTTATCTTTTTAGCTCACAACTTACATTATAGCTCAGGTCGACCGCACGCGGTAAAATGTTCGCCTCGCGAGGCGAACGATATCAAACAGGAATCAGCCTCACTGCCTCGTGAGGCAGAAAACGCCCTCAAGAGGCAAACATTCACAACACGTGCGGTGAGCCACGTGTTGAGCAAACGGCCTCAATGGATGCAACCTTGCAAAAAAAAATCCCCATAGAAACTAGTGCTAAATGTGCATACTTCAAAAATTCTTTTAAAAATACTCAAAACTCTCACAGGTATTCAAGCTGCACAGACAAAATAATGATGATCAATGTGTCATCTTTCATTTTCTTTTCATTTTTTGGTGAGTTGACCATTGACTTTTCGAGATATTCTCACCCAAAGACCCCTATTTTCCCCAAAGCGGAAATTTAAAGTAGCCATCTTGAAAAACGATCCCTCCACAACATGGCAAAATAGCGCAAGTTTCGAGCCCAATCGCATCCAAAATGTTCAGAATGGGAAGCCCCAAGTCCGGGCCAGAGGTTCATTACCATATCTCTTCAATTCTGTAATTTTATGGCTCTCAAAACTCTCTAATATAGAATATTTTGAGGGTATAACTTTTATTCAGGAGCTCGGCCGACGGATTTTTGGCCTATTTACAGGCGTGCACCCAAATGACTTTTTACTCGGCACGTAGCTCCCGTGTGCGGCGGGCTTCAAGAACGGACGCAAACAGGCTTCTCTGTTATTTTCAAGGAGTTCAATTCAAAAGTAAAAAACAACTTAGGTAACAGATGCACTGAGTAAAAGCAGAAACTCCGCTTTTCGTTCATCTCTCCAAGCCTTGCAGGAGAATAAATGAAGGCTGGACAGAGTGCACGAAGCCTATGACCGACCATAAAAAAGAACTATTTATTTGCTACTGATATTTCCCATCTTCCAGTCATCAAGAGGAATTACATCAAAAACAAACGTTGCAAGACTGTATGTATCCTCGTTACAAAGACTAAACATTATTTGTAAATAATATGAAGCTTTTTTGTTGGTCCTTGGGCTGTTTCTATTTTGGAGTACGAATCCTCATTTCCCTGTTTTTGGGGTCGGATGGGTGAGGCTTTCAATAGGCGTACCGAAGAAAATGCTAACATCGGTCTTTATCATTATTATTATTTTTAAGGAGGGCGCTTTCGCACTCATGAAAACCTATAAATGCTTTGCAGAAATTAAAAGGTAAAGACGGACATATACGTAAAGAAACAAAACATGCTCTTCGAGTATATTTTGCTAGCAGCTAGCACTGAATATACTTGGAATTTTATTTTATTAATGTCACTCTTTTAATCGAACTCAAAGGTTACAATTCATCCACCACCATTAATCAAATTAAATCAATTCAACATATAAGTTGGTAAAATAAAGCCAATTGGTCATAAAAACACCTTATAATCTGCCACCGATAACCAAGGATAAAAAAAGCTATAAGTTGGTAAACACAAAACTTATTGTCACAAAGGAAAGGTAATGACGTCATTGAGAGTTTACCGCGATGCATTCTGGGAGCCAGTGACCATGTAATTTGTATCTATATTGTTTCCTTTCAATTGTGCTCTTTTATTTATCATGGTAAACTGTAAATCTCCGAGTCCTGTTATGCATGTCAATATATACTTGATACAAACCATGAATACTAATTTCTAATTCTCAAACAGTGCGACGTAAGGGTGTTCATTATTTTAGTCAGAAGCACGTTGCTGAATGCAGGGTACGTGCATAAGTTCGATAAAATCTCATCCCCAACCAAATAAAGACCCATCAGACCGACTCCTCATAGGCCCGACGCCCCATAGTTCCCACGCCCCATAGGCCTGACGCCTCATAGGTCCGACGCCTCGTAGGTCCGATAATTAAATTTACTTTCATTTCGGTCCATAAGTCCGGCGTCTCATAAGTCCAACGCCTCGTTTGTCCGACAGCCATTCTTAATACATGTAAATACAAACATCGCGTAAAATGTCAGAATGTTACCGCCACCAACTGTTACAGTTAGAGATTACACATTTGCTCATGAACCCCGGGGGGGGGGGGCACCACTGATATTAAACCCACTGAGAGCCGGGCGTGTAGTTTGGTCCATAATTGTCCGAGTCCTGGTACAATGGGTTCAAAAACCACTGGAAACTTGTTCTTGCCTTGTCGGTCAAAATGAACCTTTCTTTGTAACCGTCCATAGCTCCGACGCCTCATAAGTCCGACGCCTCGTTTGTCCGACGTCGGACTTATATGAGGCGTGGGAGCCATGAGGCCGAATACTAAAATTGTCCGAAAGTCAGATGCCTCATAAATCCGATGCTTCATAATTCCGAAATGTTGGACTTATGAGGCATCAGACTTACGGTACGGCCACAACTAAATAAACCAGAACAACCATCGACCGTTCCATCATTGTGCTCAAAATACGAGATACCGGGTGACTTTATACGTCAAGGCTATATATGACTGTATCAATTATATATCAACAGAAAAGTCCCAATGTAAACACCAAACGAGCCAATGAAACTTTTGTTACACTAAAAAGTAAACGTATCATTCGTTGAACACCCTATCAACTTGAACGCTGTGTATAGGCAAAATCATTTGCTGAGGATAAAGGGAATCATATATCAATTTAGATTGTCGTCGCAAAATCATTTCACTTGAAAATGACGATGACATGAGTTATATCGCTTGATAATTTTCCTTGGTTTTCCAAAAATACAATGCTCTTAAAAGCTCTTCGCCTTTCTTCCTCCTTTCTTCCTAATCCTCCTCCTCCTAATCATCATCATCATCCTCGTCAGATGATCCTTCGTCTTCTTCCTCTTCTTGCTCCTCCCCCTCCTCGTCATCATTCTCTTAAAAAATAACACAAACAAGAAAGAAATGATAAATTCATTGCGAATCACCAAAATCGAAAAGCTATTTCAAGTAACATCCAAAGAAAGTGACAAGGGGGTCAGGCGCGGTTCTAGAGCCAATATTTTTGGGGGGCTAGCAAGGTGGATCCGGAATTTTTTTTCTGGGAGGCGTGCTGAAATGTAGACCGGTTATTTTCTCAGGAAATTTAATAAAAATCAACATGATGACGTCATCATGACGTCACCTCAATTCTCATCTACAACACATCCCGCTATGTCTGCCTTCCAAGTTTCATTGGAATCGGGCTTGTAGTTTTCTAGATATAGGCCCTTGAAAAATGCACTTTCATAATGACGTCACATGACACGTGATGACGTCATGATGACGAAAATCTTCCAGGACCACCTGTGGGTGGTGGTTTTAGTATGTGATTAGTCTGAAAACGATCGGATTCTATACAGTGGCAAAGTGTACTGGTGGACGAAAAACGTGTACAAACCCTATGGACAAAATGTCCGAAAAATAAGGAAAAAGAAACAAAATCTCAACGAAAACAAGAGCTGTTTCGGTGTCTACCGAAGCAAAGAACAATCGAAAAGAAAATGATTAATTGAAATTATTTATGTTGCTTATCAGGTATTGCGCAATTGATTTCCCCAAATAGAAAAGCAACATTCCTGCAGCGTGAATGTTCAACTCGAAATACGAAATACTATGTCAAGATGATAAAGTTCAAAAGCTAACGACTAATTGAACTTTCCGATCAAATCGATGCGAGTAAATTCACAGAATTACCGGTTTTACAAAGAACGCCACGAAACCCAGCAGTACACGTGCAGGAGAACTCATTGACACCATCCACGCACTCGGCACCATTCAGACATGGATTGCTGCCACACTCGTTAATATCTGGAACAAAATGCATGGAAGTATTTCACTGATCTCTTGTACTTGAAATCTTCTAGGGACTATTGTGATTTATATCACCCCGACGCAAAATTCCATCTTATAATAGTTTATGCGGTACTCGCTGCTATGTACATCAGATTTGAACCAGCCAACCGATCCCGTTAGCTCGGTGGTCGAGTGGTAAGACATCTGCACTAGAAAGCAGGAGGTCGTGGGTTCGAGTCCCACCCGAGTGGTTTTTTTTTCAACTTTCACTCGGGAGGTAACACACTGAGTATACAGTGTTTAAAACGTCGGTGAAGGGTTAAACCTAATTTGACTATTGTAGAGTTGGGCACATAATGAAGGTCAATAAGAGCTATACGATAGTATCACTTACTAGTCTCGCATTGGTCACCAGCGTAGCCAAGGGAACATTGACAACTGAAACCATTCACGTCGTCAACACAAACACCTCCGTTCTGGCAAGGGTCGATTGCACAATCATCGGTATCTGTCAAAGGAACAAAAGGGAAAGAAATCATATTTACAGCTTTATTTCCAGTAATCTGACAGAATACAAAACTTAAGTTACCTACCCTGGCTAGTTTCATTTTAGCTCAGAGATTATTGCATCGCCTTTGCACGAGAATGACGTCGTATATGACAGACTGAACCCTGCAATGGCATAGCAGTTTTTGTTCAAAATAATGAAGGAGTTGTCAATTAACTTACTGGTCTCGCATAAGGTACCCTCTTATCCTGGGGAGCATTCACAACTGAAACTGTTCACTTCGTCATGGCAGACGCCATTCTGGCAAGGACTGCTCTCACATTCAAACAAAATTAAGTATCAGAGATAGAACTGCCTGTCTTTTACGAATTGACAAAAACTTACTAGTCTCGCATAAGGTACCCTCGTAGCCCGGGGAGCATTCACAGCCGAAACCGTCTACTTCGTCAAAACAGACACCATTCTGACAAGGACTGCTGCGGCATTCATCAACGTCTGCAAAGATAGAGCCAAAAAGGCAAACTGTTCTATAAAGTGATTCAACTGTTTTGAGAATGAAATATTCATATAGATGAGATTTTCGAGCAGCCTGACCCAAAAGAGAATGTTTATAATGGAGAGAATACTCATAAAAGCCTGCATTTCTACCCTACCGTGCTAATAAAGAAACTGCGACATCCTTTTTTCCTGCATTACACGAAATGTTTGCCAAATAAGACGATACCACACCTGCCATATTTGTGTTTCAGCCATGACTTTGTGTATGGTGCTCCTTTCTAGGTGGGCTTAGTGCCAGGTTCGGTCAAATTTGGTAAGTAAACAACCGAACACATAATGACTTAAAAAATTAGGGTTTTCTTTATCATGACATAATGAAGTTATTTCATAGTTAGTATACTGGTAACTATTTTTGATTATAAACCAAATTTCTTGACGATGGGACATTTCCTTATGTGTTAAAAAAATCGCTTGTTGAACTCAATTTGTACCTATAACATGTCCTTGTCCATGTACACACCAAGTTTCAAACTAATCTAACCTGTGTTTCTGTAGATATATAACTTTTTATGCGATGACGTCACTTATTAAAAACGGTACCCGTGATGATGTCATCAACACGTTATTACTTGAGACACGACTTCACTATAGGTTTGGGTTTTGTTAACATTAACCCTCCTATGCAAACATACATTATGTGCAAAGTTGTATTTTCAGTCAAAATCAATCAAGTGACTGTTTTGAACAGTGTGGAGCTCCCAGCCTATGTAAAGTAGGATTGATTGGCTGTTTTGATACAGCTACCGGTATGCTTTGACTGTGACTGTTCAGACAGCACGAGGGTTACGTTTTATGGGTGTATGAGTTTGTTTAATGTCTAAAAAATCGTCCGGAAAAAAAATACTTTACACAGTCTGTGGTATTTGGGTTAAAAACTAAAAGAAAGAATAAAAGAACACAAACCAAGGCTTTTTCGCATCTGTGCGGAAAAGACCCCAACAATCTGAAAGAAAACAATAGCTGTTTCGACTGAGTTGTCAAAACGGTTAAAATTCCAGCCCAAAAAAACCAGAATGCAAATGATTTCGTTTACTTACAGATTCTGAAGTGCATTCTAAATCCCTTTTTCTGGGAAGGGTTGGCGTAAGTAGTCTGGAAGAAGACCGACACTTTGCTGTCATTCACCACAATCGTCTCACTGGGAAGGCTTTCAAGTCTCACATACTCACTCGCAAAATCTATTGTACCACCAGGCTGGTAGCCTAGGTAATTCGCTCCGCTAAAATCAATATCTACATTTTCAAATCTGATCTCGATCCTCTCTGCACCAGGAAATCCGATGATGTAAGGACATCGTTGTTGGATTCCGTACGGTTCAGGGTACCCCGGCGACTGTATGTAACCCCCATACTGATCGTAGATGTAGCGATCGCCGTCAGAGCTTGGCTCGCAGTTTACCCCTTGATTGGTTTTACAAAAAAAATAAAAAATGAATAATCAACAAACAATGTAAACAAACGTGTAAGAGAGCGGTAGAGGGCGCTATGGCGACGCCATTTGAGGGGATTCAGACATGAATTCACACATGAGTTGCTATAAAAACATGAATGTATTTCTCAGCTTATGTCGTCTAAACAACGCCCTCATTCGCTCATAGATATGACCTCGGGGGAATTGGTTCGGGAAAAGGTATAGATGCAAGAATGTGAACCACTAAAGAAGTGTCTATAATGCAACGAGATTCAACATAACTCAAAGTATTTTGTCCGCCGAATTTTGGTAGAGACATGGTGACCGTCGCCAAGGTGTCGGAAATAGACTGATCGACACTATGTTTTGGTCCAGTATATATGGATTTGTATTGTTGTTTCGTGTGACATTTCTGATCGATATCATAGTGACCACTAACATATTTTCATCTCTCTCGAGTTAGCACTTGTTTGTCCACCAACCCCAACCATATATGCAATGGGTCACAGGTTAAAAATAAAGAATATAACAAATTGAACAGGCAACCGAATATTGTGCCTTCAATATTCTTCAGATCATCTTACTTACCGATGGACGACGCGTTACAGAATTCGCCATTTTGTCCACCAGAGCATTCACAGAATGCTTGCCCATCTGGTCCAAGTACACATTCTGCGTTTAAGCACGGGTTTGGACTACAGCCAAGACTAGCATCTGGTAGGAACACAGGGAAAATAAAGGTTTGAACATCTTTAACAACTTTGTAATCATAAAAAAAAAATTGATTGAAAAATAAGAGAGGAACTCAATCAAACCACTAATACTACCACTATAACATGTTCACGATGTGTACGATTCCCCCTGCATCCAAGGCATTAAAATCTCGGTAAACTAATTCATTAAGGAGGTCTGAATGATCCAATGGTCCCTACCCCGTCCCGAATGAAAGAGACCGAGAGAATATATCCCAATCATCCAACAAACCAGCCTGCCAGCTGGTATTGTCAGCAATTATGCCAGCCAGGCAGCCAAGCAGCTAGATTTTCAATCGACAAGCTATTTAGCAAACCCGCCTCCATTACACACAAATCAGCCAGGCAGTCACTCAGCCAGATCAACCAGTCAGCCATACAAACTGCCAAGCAAGCAAGACATTTGGGCTACCCAGCCAACCAACAAGCAAGCCAACCATCCTACCATCCTTACTGCCTACCGCCTACATACAGCCAGCGTGTCCGCCTGCCCCTAGTCGGGGTCCGCGCATATTAAGTCCGACGCCTCATAGGTCAGACGCCTTATAAGTCCGACAAAATCGCATCCCCTAACCAAATAAAGGCCCTTAAGTCCGACGCCTCATATCGTCACCGTTTTCACGAAGAGCCACATATGTCAAAAATTTCATTTTTTTTCGATTTAGATTTTTTTCATTATTTGGCATTGAAACAATGTACTTAACCATTTTGACGTGTTTCTGAAAGCAAAACATCATTAATTTCCAAGTTACATTAATGTTGCAAGGGACAAAAATCTCGATAAATGCATTTTGCGTTTTCACGAAGAGCCACATACATTTTGGCCCTTTGAACGCGTACAAAACCCATTGCACGGAATACGTAAAAGTAGAGAAAATGAGATTTGCGTTTTCACGAAGAGCTACATATCTTTGTTACATTTCAGCTGCGTGCGCGCGCTCACGCGCGCCTATGGAAATACGCATTGAACAGAAAGGGAAAATATCTCGGAAACCCGAATTTGCGTTTTCACGAAGAGCCACATATCTTTATTAATTAATTTTCACTAATTAACTGCTGTATTAAGTCTTATTACCGGGTTCATGTAAAACTTCAACTCTCGTAGAATCGTGTAATGGTTTTCTTGCTGCACAAAGTTGTTGCAAAGTGGTATTTTTTGCAGTTTAAAAATATGAGAAACTTCTTTTGCGATTATCTCGAAAACGCCTTTTCTTCTTCGTGAAAACGGTGACGATATGTCCGACGCCTCATTGCTCCGACGCCTCGTAAGTCCGACAAATTAAACGCTTCGTTTTTCCAACGTCGGACTTATGAGGCGTCGGACTTGTGAGGCGTCGGACTTATGAGGCGTTGGACCTATGAGGGTGAATAAATCAATTTTATACCTCATAAGTCCGACGCCTCCTAAGTCCGACATTTCGGACCTATGAGGCGTCGGACTTATGATACGGCCCCATCTAACCAATAGGTAGCCAGACACGTGACGGTTGTGAATACATCGTGTATAGTTGACATAGACTAAATAAATAGTCATCTGCCTCAATGATTTTTTTTTTTCAAAATTCCAACTGCATCAACACTGCACATTTGATTATATACATTTCTAAAAGGCGTGGTTTGCAGCTCGAACACAAACATTTTTGTGGGCTGACATAATGACACAAAGCGTAATCAAGTGTATCACAAGTAAACATTAATGTTTAGGAGGGCTTAATTAACGGAACCAGAATCCCCTAATCATCCTTGGCTGCATTTCTCCATGGGAAGCTCATACACTCTAACCGCACACAGCATCAAAAGGCTATCAGGGCGAGGAATGGTTATGAGAAGGGCATCAGACTTTATTGGAGGGTTGCAATCGAGGTAGACAGTGACGGCCTTGTTAGCAGGACTATATGACCGGTTAACCGCACTGGCTGTTGATAGTCAATGGTCCTGTCCGGGTCCCTGCTTTCACGACAGCACCCGGATCATGATCTTGTTAATGGCCACTTTTTCTTCAATTGCATAACACCTTAATGGGGCCAACTAGCAAGCATTGTCTTTTTTCACTAATTATTTCTTGTTCTTCTTTCTTCTTCTTTCATACCAGGCTCGTTATCGGTATAATTTCAAAACATGGCTGAAGTAAAGGCAGATATGAAGGCTTGTATAAAAAAATGTTACCTCTGGATTCAAGTTCATCCTCCGAGTTGTCTTCCTCCGAAAGTTGTTCCAATAGTTCAATGTCATGATATATCTTGCTCTAAAAAGCAAAAAACAGATATATGTTTGCACGAAAAACAGGCAATAGGCTAAAGGTTTTTTGTTTGTTTGTTTTTTAGATCATAACCCGAACAGTTAGGAGTATAATTACATAACTGCATATTCAAAGTGACTTATCACAAGGCCTTATAGTCAGGTGGCATATGGTCGGAATCGTGACCGACTGGTCCAAAGCACCAAACTTGGCAGATAGATTCTTATAGCCCTAGAGAAGATATTTAGAAGGGGTGACACCTGAAATCCTTTTGGGAAGGGTGCCTAATTTGCATAAATCATTAATCCCTGCAGCTATCAAATGGTACAATGAGCAACTGGAACGATGAAATGCCGTGTGGCTGACCCTGATCCCTCATTAATGTAATGTAATATGTGTATTACATGTAGTAATTTTTTTTATTTTTTTTTTTACCTGTAATTATTGGATTTATAAGTTTGTGGTAACTACAATGCATGTTTACATCTTTTTAATTAATGATTGTATGTTTTTTATAACCCACTCTTTGTCAAGGCCATTTTAATTTCCCTCTTGAGGGATAATAAAGTTCAATTTATCTTATCTGATCTTATCTTAATATATTTATTCCCATATTTGGGTTTATTTATTTTTATTTTTTTGAAAAGTGTATTTTGGTGATTCTACTTACATATCTTTAGTTCAATAACATTTTCTAAAGCATGTAAGTGACTGAATAATTACGAGGACATAGTAAATCACCAAAATGGCTACTATTTTACCCGAAAGTTGCGCGCATTTACCTTTTCCACAGATATCATCAACTAGTCTCGCCAAACGTGGATATTGATGAGCTTCAAATTAACAAAGTTACTTACTGGCACAGTTACCCTAACAAAAATAAGTGGAAAATCATGTGAAAATTAATAACATCTTGATGTTAAGCCCAAAAGACAAAAAAAGGGGAGAAAATGAGGTGTCCGTAAATTGGGCTTCTAGGCGAAGGGTAACGTGGGGACTTGAACAAGTTCAACGAAATCCCCCCCCCCCCCCCCAAATAAGAGATTAGTAGTGTATAGTGGGTATTTGACCCCGTTTTTATGAGGAGGATCATGATCCTCATAGAGGATCATATCGGTAAGCCCGACGAGGATGGTAAAACGGGGCGTGTCTGAGGTGAATTGACGTCATGGATCGATGGACAAATCGATCATAAGATGGGGATTATCGCTGAATGAGTATTATTGCTTGAAGATAATAGTACAACAAAAGGGGGAAAAGGCAAACGACGATGCAGACAACGCGCGTGCGTAAGTGAATAATTTTCCTTTATATTACATATATTTTTTATGTATGTTGTTTTAGTAACTTGAAGCGTCAGTATAAACAACAGAATATAGCAACCCAATTCATGGATGAAGGCGGTTACCGATTACTTTATGGGCATACTCTAGTGAATGAAACTTTTTAAAAAAATATTATTATTATTAAGCAACCGACATGTTAGCGAGATGTTGATGGGACCAAATACATAAACATATAAAATTATACCTGTATTATTTGCGAATGGGTGTTATATTAATGCATTATACAATATACAAATATAAATGTACAAGTAATAAAAGATGACTTATAACCTAGAGACACGGGACACGCAAAAAGAACACAGTATCACACTGAATTTGTATTTGCAAAGTACGTGTATTTGGTTTTATTTCAAAACACAAAATCAATAACATAACAATAAGTAGTATTACATGTTATTACATTACATTCTTTAATTTATTTACATTTTGTATTTCACTCCCCACGCTTTGACGATTTTTATCCGTAGTCGGCTATTTTCGTATAATTTATAACAGTTCATTACAATTGTTCTGTTTACCCACACCATATCCAATAGTCCAAAATAGCCTTTGTATACTCAAATGGGGTAATCCGGTGACGTCATAGTGCTGAGTCATCGAAAGATGGCAAAAAGAAGCCGGACAAGTCCGGTCTTGTCCAGTCGTCATAGGTCCGAATAGCGCTCTTTCGTTTTGGACGGTTAGTCATGACGGTTCGTCATGACAGCTCGTCATGACGGTCGTCCTGTCCAATCACAATCCTCGCTGAAACTGATTCAGCATATTTTGTGACTAAAATCAGTTGATTTTTATTTGTGAGGCAAGGTTTTTGCCAGACCCATTCCTTCTATGATAGTGGAAGGTCTTAAACATTGCCAGGACGTCATTTTTGGCGAGTCAGAACTTGAATTCCCAACTAACTTTGTGAAGGTCTACATATACATCGGTATTCTATATTACAATGTAGTTCAATTCTTGCAGGTGTAACCAGGCCTGACATCAGCTGGCAGGCATTATTAAGTTTTGTTAAATGAGGTATTGAAAAAAATCCATTGTTTACGCCTTTTTCGCATCCAAGCGTGTAGAAAAAAGGCAGAAAAACATGTTAGCCTCCATATTGCATGAGAAACGCATTACAATAGTGCTGACTCGGCATGGCTCAGCACTTTTAAAATGATGGCTCCCACGGCCGTCACGGGCCAGATCTGCGATGCTCCAATATCCACATTTGTTGATATGATATTGGTCTATCTCTGTACCAAATTTGGCACTGTTATCATAAAATGTACAATAGGTTTGCTATGCCACCCACTTTATATAGCCGTTTTGAGTGATTTAGGGGTAGGGGAAGCAAAAATGGCCATGGCCAGCCCAATTTTTAAGACAGAAAGCTTATCTACCACTTAAATTAAATTTTGTGGTCTCTGGCAGTTTTTAAATTAT